TACTGGCGGTATTTCTAGCATATTTAACAGCTGGAGCAAAAGTCTACATGTATTGAATTTTGTTTAAGTTTGATAATGATGATCTCCCCCACTATCAACGGTCAAATCACGTAGTTAATCGACCTTCTTTCACAAATGCAATACTTTCTTATTAGAAAGACTGTTTCTTGATGTGACTAAGTACATTTGCATGTCCACTGTTTTCTTTTAGTAACTTATTTCATTGTTCAGATCATAATTACTTTTATCGAACCAAGCCAGTTTGTTTTATAATTTTAATTCATATAATTAAATTTGTTTTGTTTTTTCACTCTAATTAGTACTGGAAAACACGAACAGATAAAATAAAGAAACGGTAATAAGCAAATATACTTAACTTAATACGTGGTGAATGCTTATTTCAATAGTTACAATTAAAAATATCATGCTTTCTTCTTCTACTTCTGTGAAAACCAAACATACTGTGCAAGTCTACAATCTAGAAAAAATTATGTTACCTGGTGGCCGAACATTTTGCTACCTGATAGTTTTGTTATAATCTCTATAACATATCTTATTTAAGTTCATAAGATAAAAATATTTCGTCACTATTAGTTCATTAGACAAACACTCCAGTCAGTAAATTATTAGTAAACATGTCTTCAATATTGGTTTATTAGAGAAACTCCTTCAAAATAAAAAATAAAGGCTCTTATGTTGAAAAACATTATATTTAAAATGATGAAAGATCTGAACTTTTTAAAAACAATTCATGCTTTCCTCAAATAGTTGTCGAGCCATACAAGTAACTGGAACAGGTAGCTGACCGGTAGCAAAATGTCTGGTAACGAACTGTCCTAGAACCATGTTACCTTACCAAAAAGTCTGAAAATTTCTTTATACATTCTAAAGTGTGAAAAAATTTCAAATATTGTGTTTAATGAGATATATTAATGATAGAAAATCTCCTAGAATGTTATGGATCAATTAACTGTCTTCATTTCGTCTTTTACTTTAAACATAGTTTATGATTTCTTAATGCAAAGGTCCAAACCATATACTTAATGTTACTAATAAAGTGCGTTTTGTTTGTTTGTTATGAATTTCGTGCAAAGCTACACGTGGGCTATCTGCGCTAGCCGTCCCTAATTTAGCAGTGTAAGACTAGAGGGAAGGCAGCTAGTCATCACCGCCAACTCTTGGACTACTCTTTTACCAACGGATAGTGGGATTGACCGTCACATTATAATGCCCCCACGGCTGAAAGGGCGAGCATGTTTGGTGTGACGAGGATTCGAATCCACGACCCTCAGATTGCGAATCGAACACCCTAACCACCTGGTCATGCTGGGCCGGCAACTATGTTACCAAAACTAGTTGACTGTAAGTAGTAATAAATATTTCACCTTTCATTGTGCCAAAAAACGTAATTTTTTTGTGTTTTTTACTTTTAATACCTCCAATCTTTGTCAAGAAACCTGTGATTTTTCCAATATAACACAACTTAGCTACATGATGGCTACGGATCAAACACTTGAATAAATGATTTCAGTTGTCAAGTGCTAGGCAATGCCATAAGAAACGTTTCAATGAAAGTCTAAACATGTGACAGAAATGTGTTCCTTTGTTAACAGATATAAGTCACAAGCCAACTTTAGAAAAAATCTAAAGTGATTGAGGTTTGATTCATGTGAAGCATCCATTTCCCCACAAAATATGTATTCACAATCTTTCTTTTACAGGACACAGGATTGGCTTCACAATAATACATATTGATGCTGAACAATCCAAGCAGGCCTAAATATAAATCTAGTAATAATTGTGAGAAATAAACATCTTTCTATGTTTAGAAATGACACCAGGAGAACACTACTTTTAATTTTCAATCAGAAATTAAGTATATATGTGTAAAACTCAGTAGGTCTAGAAGAACTAACTGTACAAGATGGTAGAAAATTATGCTTAGTCCTGTGTGTGCTTGAAATCTAAATTGATATATCCATCAATAACTTGGCAAATCCTTTTACTGACTTTGAGAGAGAAATATATATATATATATATTTTTTATAATAATAAGAAAGAAGCTTGATTTTTAACCCATGGTTACTGAGCACACTAATATCAGGGCTTTAGTTAACAGCATTGCAGGTTCAATATGCTACCAATATACCAGAATTTAAAGGTCTGTTCTGATGTACGAGATCATTTTTATCTTTTCCTTGCACACACATTCGTTACCTTTAATTACTTAATTAATCTTTTATTTTTGTTAGGCCTCAGAGCGCTAGTTGTGTTTCGAACTTTAGAAATGTAACATTGTTGAAATAGTTTGACAGAAATCATTTAATGCTGTTAAAACACTTCTAAAAACTGAAACATATAAAAATGTTTTTGAGTTCAGTGTGATAATACAGCTTCATTTACAACAAAGAACAGAACTGAAATTATGTCAATTATTAATATATTCTAAAGTTGCATGCATTTTTCTCTTGTAAGATGCCATTTTTAAAGCCGTTTTTCATGCCTAGCTATTGCTTGATAATTCTATTCTATAAACTTATGTTTTTACAGTTTTGAAGCAATTTCAAACCGCATAAGAGTTAATACTAGGGCATTAGTTAACACAACTACTGTGCTCATTCAATATGCCACCAATGTATCAGAATTTAAAATCATAGAAGATATTAGTTAACACAACCACTCAGTATGCTTCCAATTTATCAGAATTTAAAATCACACAAGTTAATATCAGGATATTAGTTAACACAACCACTCAGTATGCTTCCAATGTATCGGAATTTAAAATCACACAAGTTAATATCAGGATATTAGTTAACACAACCACTCAGTATGCTTCCAATGTACCGGAATTTAAAATCACACAAGTTAATATCAGGATATTAGTTAACACAACCACTCAGTATGCTTCCAATGTATCAAAATTTAAAATCATACAAGAGTCAATATCAGGATATTAACACAACCATTCAGTATGCTTCCAATGTATCAGAATTTAAAATCATACAAGAGTTAGTATCAAGATATTAGTTAACACAACCACTCAGTATGCTTCCAATGTATCAATATTTAAAATCATACAAGAGTTAATATCAGGATATTAAATAACACAACCATTCAGTATGCTTCCAATGTATCAGAATTTAAAATCACACAAGTTAATATTAGGATATTAGCTAACACAACCACTCAGTATGCTTCCAATGTATCAAAATTTAAAATCATACAAGGGTCAATATCAGGATATTAGTTAACACAACCATTCAGTATGCTTCC